GCACTTATCTAACTGAAGTCTGAGAGGGATGGAAATTGTAGTTTTCCTAGTCTTTTCTCTGAATGATAGGTATATAGGAAGTAGCCTTGCCGCATAGTTTGGATTGGATCGAGCTTCAGCTGCCGATTTGTGTTTTCATAAGACTGCAGTCTGCAAAGTTGCACATTTGATTGTTATTTCCAACTTGTTCATATGCCTTGCTCTGGTTCAAGAAATCTATATTTGCTTGCAATGTATTTAAGTGGACGAGGTGGAGTTCCCGAATAGTGTTTCTCATTGTCTTCTTTCTGGATGGAATGGGTTACTCTTGTCTTCCAGGGAGGTTAAAAGTGGTTAAGCATGAGTTCCCATGTGGATGCTTTGCACGATGCTAATCTAGCTTCAACTTCGAAGCCAAAACCTGAAGAAAGTGGTTAGAGCTAACGGCCATTTGGTTTGTTGATTTTATGTCGATGAAGTAAGTTTCACTTTGCTGATGAATTATATAAAACATGAAAGCCAGGTACGCTTTTTGGCCCAAAGTTCCTGTCCACTGTTTCAATTCTTAACGTTTAGTGGGCGACGGGAAGAAGAGCCTCTTACCAAGAGCTTCCCATGGACTTCCTTCCCGAGCTCTCCGTACCTTATGCTCCGCGGCGACCTTACCCTGAAATCAGCAATCAAGAGCCACTGACCATGCCTTTGCTTCGCTACCTTTACCCCAAAATCAACAATTGCAGGAACTGCCCATACTTTCTGTACCCTCCATCCCTTCAAGGCCTCACCCCAAAATCCACAGTCACAACCACCGCTTTAGTCTTTTCCGCCCCCTCACAGCCGTTCCTCCACGCCACCAGCCATGCTTTCTACAGGACTAACCTTATTTCCATGGTTTAAGAAAAGACTTACACTGCTTTCCCTGCCAAATACCTCTTCCACACATTACACTCTGCTGCTTTCCCGTTCCATCCTCTCCGCCTCAACTGGAGTGGCCGGCGAGGTGGGGGGAAATACGAGGTCTGATACGTTTGTCGAAGCAGCTGCAATCAACCTTCAACAGAGATGATGTTGGGACTTTTAGGGACAAGGGTATACGTACGATAGCCCGAGACCGGGTGACCAGGATTGTGATAGAGTCATGAACAAAGTTCACTTTCCGAAAAGAATATTTCCACCCTCAACAAGCCTAGGGTTACAGGAAATTTCTCCCGAGGATAAAACTATCACCACTTTAGATTCCAGGCTCAAGAACACTAAAGCATACTTAGAAATTTTTGGAAGAAAGAAGAAAAATCTGTTTGATGGTTTGTGGCATCATCCACCCCACACATATTTATAGGGGCCGAATCCATGCATTGTTTCATGAAAGGTTGCATTTATCCATACGAAATGTTGCCTTTATCCATATGAAAGGTTGCCTCTATCCATATGAAAGGTTATCCTTATCCATATGAAGGGTTCCTTCTATCCATAAGGTTATCCTTATCTATAAAATAATGCAACCGCCACTAGTCCAAAGGGATGTGTCCCTTCACGGAATTAGAATATCGGTTTGGTCGGTCTAATCCCAAACCGGTCGGTCGGTCCAACCCAAAATCGGTTTGATTTGGTTAGTCCGGTTCAACCAAATTTCCAACATTCCTCCCCCATTTTGTGTATTCTTAGAATTCACTAAAATCACAACATTCTTCCAACAAAACTTAAGCATAAATGAAAATGTCGTGACGATTGAATTTTCACCTTAGTATATTACACTTGACGAATACTCGAATACAAAGGGTGTCGGTAACGATTGAACCCATTGACTCATATGAATATTCGAAGATAATATACACTTAAGTTTTCAAAACTTCTAAGCGCCTTGACACTATTACCCGCCATGTGTCCAATCCTTCTCATAAGCGCACACGAAACCAAAGTCCGGGTTTCTTGAAGCGGCTACACTTCATGCTTACGTAGGTCGAATCTTTTATTCGTGTACCCGCATAATACACTTTGTCAAATATTCAATTAAGAAGTTTTGAACTTCATCCTCTTCTCTCATGCAGATAACAAGCACATAACTCGGGATGACAAATTTTGTGCTTCAATTTCTGATAATAAGCTTTCCACATTGAATTCAGCCTCTAACGTTGTATTAGAGGGGAATTGGGTGTCCCATTACCAGAAATTATATGGACTTTAATCCATCCCTTTCACAGACTTAATCACCAAGTCACTAGTTAACCACTTCGTCAAATGATCAACCAAATTAATTCGAGTTTGGCCATATTGTCTATACACAACACTATGAATAATCAGTTCACAGCTTTTACCGTGCCATACTCCCACATGACCGTACTTATCATTTTCACTTGACTATATGCCTTAGCCAAATTAGCATTACTATCACAAAAGATAGTAATAGGTGAGATTGGTTTAGGCCATAAATATATGCCATAAACCAAACCTCTCAACAATTATGTCTCTTCTCTAAGAGAAATCAAGGGCACACAAACTTTGATTCCATAGTGAAACTTAGTGATGCAAGTTTGCTTTCTAGAGGCCCAAATTATGGCACCTCTCCCAAGCAAGAGGACCCATCTCAATGTTGAAGTATCACCTTTAACATGAGAAATCCAACTAACATCAACAAATCATTTCCAAAATTGATGGAAAGCCACTATAAGTCAATACAGTGTGCATTTGACATATCCTAGTACACGCCTCATTTCATTTCAAATGATGAGAACTAGGATTCATCACGTACCAACTTAATTGTTCTATCGCATATGAGATATCTAGCATCATGTAAGTCATGCATACATCTCCAGTTGTAAAACTGATTTCCAGTATTAACCATAAGTTCCATACTTGGATCCATTGGGGTCTTTAACTCACTACAATTCATACTATGGAATGTATGCAAGTACCTTCTCATGCAGAAAAATTGAGAGAAGGACTCTTCTTTGTCGTTCCGCTTGATTCAATACACAGAATCACATTTGCCTCCCCCATGTCCTACATGGAGAATTGAAATAACAACTTTTTATCAAAGTTCACTTATCTTTTATTGGTTCCAAAGATAACCATGTCTTATACATACAAATGTACGATGACTTCATTACCAGAATCATCATAAATTGTGTACACATTTTGTCTCCTTGGTTTAAAATAACATAAACCACTAGACAAAATCACTTATCTTTGATTGGCCCCAAAGATAAATATGTCATCTACATACAAACACAACGACTCTATTACCAGAATCATCAAACATTGTATATACAATTTTGTCTCCTTGGTTTAAAATAACATAAACCACTAGACAAAATCACACCACCAAACCACTAAACAAATCCAAGTTTATCTAGAACTTCGTAAATGTCGAACAGAGAATTAGACTAATTAACCATTGAGTATGTGACCTACCCAAAGACAATTTTCATTCTTCTATTTCTCCATTTTACGAATCATTCTCCTTCTTCCTCATCTTCGAATCATCCCTCTTCCAAGTTACCTTCCGGATATGGAATACACCATGAGACAAGTACGAAGAAAACCCATCTTCTACTGCCATCGATGAAAAACCCATCATCGAACATTCTCATAATTCCATAGACCGGAACCGGTTTCTTGTAAAGAGCGGTTCGAGCCATCGTACTGGAAAACTATTCTTTTCGATTGTTGGGACTTTTAGGGACGAGGGTATACGTACGATCAATGCAGTCAAAATCGCGTTTTAAAACTTAAAAACTTACGATTTTACGCTTTTAGGTCACCAAAACGCTTTCGTTTCCATATAAAAACTTAAGTGCAATAAAATCGGACTAAATTGCGCTTTAAAGCTTAAAAGCTTACGCTTTTACGCTTCTAGTTCACCAAACCGCTTTACGTTTTTACGCTTTTAGTTCACTAAATGAGTATTCTTTTCATGAAATTAATTATAAAAAGTATATTTTAAAAGTAAATCACCAACAATATGATACATTTGAGATTAAAAGATACATATCATGTACTTGGATGCATTCTCAACTTTAATAGAGTAATCTAATTCACTAGCTTCGCTCTTCCCGAATGCATTAGCATAGAGGAAGAAGTGGCTTATTGTTAAAATTTATGTTTACAAACTTATTATTAAGATGCTACAAGTTGCTCTACTTGAGGCATGAATTGCATGTATTTATTAACTTATCTAAATTTCGTGCATTCATATTTTACATAGTATATGTCCTAGCTTTTTAGTTATTTTTCAGTATGCTTCAAAAACTTACGCTTTTACGCTTTGATTCTACGCTTTATGATTTTACCCCTTTTCCGCTTCTAGGTAGAATCGCGCTTTTGACTGCATTGCGTACGATAGCCTGAGACCGGGTGACCAGGAATGTGATAGAGTCATGAACAAAGTTCACTTTCCGAAAAGAATATTTCCACCCTCAACATGGCTAGGATTACAGGAAATTTCTCCCGAGGATAAAACTATCACCACTTTAGATTCCAGGCTCAAGAACACTAAAGCACACTTAGAAATTTTTGGAAGAAAGAAGAAAAATCTGTTTGATGGTTTGTGGCATCATCCACCCCACACATATTTATAGGGGCCGAATCCATGCATTGTTTCATGAAAGGTTGCATTTATCCATACGAATTGTTGCCTTTATCCATATGAAAGATTGCCTCTATCCATATGAAAGGTTATCCTTATCCATATGAAGGGTTGCCTCTATCCATAAGGTTATCCTTATCTATAAAATAATGCAACCGCCACTAGGCCAAAGGGATGTGTCCCTTCACGGAATTAGAATATCGGTTTGGTCGGTCTAATCCCAAACCGGTCGGTCGGTCCAACCCAAAATCGGTTTGATTTGGTTAGTCCGGTTCAACCAAATTTCCAACAGATGACGACGAGAAAACGACGGCGACGATGATGTGGAAGAGTATGCCGAAGACGACGCCAGTTCGTTTCTCCGGCAGCCTCCACTCACCCTCCTTGAGCTCCAACAGCAGGAGCTCTGACACGGAAGGTCACGACGAGGAGAAGAATGCCGACGCCGACGAAGGTGTCGGAACTTTCAACCCTTGGCAATGTTCACAAAAAATTTCCTTTTGAAGGCAGCATCAGCCTGAGTTCTACGACCCAACATCAACTCTCAAGCCTCATTCGGTAAGTAAAAACCCCGTCCTTTCTTTTCTTCCCCTCTACCGTCTTTCTGGTGTCGATTTGGGTCTTTTGCTAAATTTATTGCAACAAAACAGGGGCAGAAGATGTTGCCTTGAACAACTGGCCTGCACTATCAAGACCATAAACTGACTTACAAAGACAAAGAAAGGGATTACAACGCGTTCATGGATATAACAGGGGTGAAGACTGGTCCAAACTGGTTCTGCTTCAAGCCCCAATTAGCCGGGAGAAGCGTTGCCTTAAGATGAGAAAGAACGGTAAGATGGAGAAAGCTTTCAGCCCATTTTCGAGATCAAACTGCCTCGCCATCAGGTATGTATTGTTTCCTCTTTGATCCTCTTCCACGGGTTGTAGGTATTTCGCTAATACTAATCAAAGTGTCCAACTTGGTTGCTTTCTTACAGATTTTGACTCTTGAATCAGTGATTAGTATTGGTGGGAAGATAGCAGAATAGGAAGTTTTGGATGGGATTCTTTGTGATGGAGATATCAAATTACAGAGGAAATTGCAGTCGAGAAGTGTTCAAATTAGTTCCATGAGACTGGGAACAACAATAGCTTGAAAGGTGTCAATTTTCTTTTCTTCACAAACGTGTTGTAAGTGCTTTCTTCTCTATAAATTTTCTCCATCTGCGCATTGATTCCTTTACCATTCACATACTATGAGACTTTGTGTGTTTGCCTTACTCTATTGTTTGTTTCAGTTAAACAAAATCACCATCATTGTGGCTCGGTATAGGGTCCGAGAGGAGTTGTCGGAGCTCTCTGTAGTTTAGAGTTTCAGATTGTTTTCCAAATTGATTGGATTGCTCCCATCTCTAGATATTTTCTCTTACACATAAACTAATTATATTTCCCATCGTTTGCTTTTAGAGGTCGGGACCTGTAGTGCTTTTGGGTTTTATTGTTCCGAGCTCACCCTGAAGATGTTGAAATTAATGATGGTATGTCTTGAATCGTTTTATATTTGAAAGAATGGGCTTAAGCTGATAGGATAGCTTTATCTTGCTGTTCTCCAGTTTCTACATGCTACTGAAGACGTGAAAGAACCGGGATCTAGATTTAAAGAACAGTAACCTTTACAAGGTGCAAACTCCACTCGCTGAATGTAAGTTTCTGAACCTTTTTCGTGAATTTATTGCTCAAATTGTATGTCTGTGAATCCATACTTGAATGCTCAGTTAAATGGATTCATGTTTGAATGTCAACCCTTTTCGTGAATCCATGGTGTTCATTTCCCTGTTGTCTACTCTAGATCAGTTTGTTATTGTTTCTTAGTCACCTTTTTCATCTTTTTACATACGCTCTACTAATTACAACTTCTCTTAGTTCCCACAGCAAGCAAGAAATACACCACCACCAATCATGCTTTGAATGAATCTTGCCAGAAGAGTAAGGTATAAGATTCTTCACTTTAAGAACTTATGTTAAGTTTCCTTTATATGATTTTGCTGTGGAAAGTCATGATCTGATAGGTACTCATTTTCTATTCTTCTTCGGCTTACTCTTCTCATAGAATGACAGATTAGTTCATGACTACGAATCAAGAGCTTCTCCACCAGTAAGGGACATTGAGGGCCTGCTATGGTTTTTTTTATGAAGGTGAAAATTCATTAAAAAAGAATACACCAGAGGTGTATGAAAGAAAGTACAGACAAGAAAGTGTCAAAGAACAGGCTGTACCTGCCCGAAGAAGCCGATGCCACCAACCCAAAAGAACAGGGCCTGCGATTGTTGCTCATCGTCAATTGTATTCGAGATTGCATAACCAATAGACAAGTTAATGAACAGGTTGATTAGTAAGTTGAGTCTCTTTCCTGTCACTCGCTGACTCGCATATGCTTTTCACGCCTACATGGAACTCAATTGCCTAGCTTTTAATATTTATTTATTTTTGGGCAATTATAGATCTTAGGAGTTTATCTTTTAAAATTGTTCTCACTCTGGTTTGCTGTTGCCATTTCAATTTAAGTTCCTCTACATTCAGGCTTCTTCCAGTAAGGCTCTTTCCCTACAGTTGATGGAAGGACTTGGCTCATTATTGTAGTTGACAGGATTTAGCAAATTATGTCTATACTTGATGTTTAATTGATAAGCTTAAGTCCAGTAAGCTAAGAGTTCTTTTTCATTTCCCCTTCCCAAGGATCTGCTCATCACCTTTCTTATACAAAGTTTAAGTTACTTTGTCATTTACGAGCTCATATGTGTTCTCAACTGTAGATTTCTGCTGCATAATGTATATGGATGTGCTATTTGTTGACTCGACAAAGAAAAAACTAACAGCACCAAATCTTTAATTTTAGAACACTTTCAGGAACATCCTACAACAACTGTAGCAGATTGCTAGCTGAAGAAGCAATACTAAAAGCTTCAATAATTGCTTACCGTCACCCCTAATCAACAAACAAAGACAACAACAAGCATGTTCGATACATTCCCTCTAGCTTCATGACGTTTTACGTCATAGAACTGCTTAAAGAAATAAAATGCATCAATAACCTGTGAATACCTGCTACTACTAACTCATTTAGCTGTCAAAGACCTATAGTTCGATTTAGCATTGTCTCAGAAGAGCACAACAATAGCAAGAGAATTGCATACACGATCATACTCACGCTTCCATGAGTAACAGATCAACACCATCATCCACATTTGGGCTGTTATTCCACTTATTTTCTACAACACACTACGGGTTATTGGTTGGCCCAACACGGCTAAATCTCCCGCGCCGCGGGTATTGATACTAGTTAGCATTATAATGAATGGGTTTTGTAGGCGTGGAAGCAGATGAATAAGGGTTTCAGTAAGAACGCTAAGCTTGAATCAAAGAAGCCTACTCGTCCGGACGTGAGAACTTCCTCACAGAAGCCAAATGATGTAAGAATATCCACTCTTCCTACGGTTTCCTCAATAGAGTATTCTGTGTGTTTCTGTTTTTTTGGGTCGAAAGAGAGCATTCTGTATTAAATGCTTGACTTGTGATTCTTTTTCCAAGAATTGGATGACTTATTTAGGTCTAACACCAAAGACAAATGGATCCCCTGCAAATGATGCAGAACAAAAGGGGTCACAGGAGCAAATGAATAAGGGAATATCTAGTAAGGAAATCGAATCTTCTCAGAACAAGTCTAGAGTCTAGTACAAGTGTGGATCAAACTTCGCAAAAGAAGTCTGATGTGAGAACTTCTCTAGTTTTTTTTTTTTTTTTTTTCTCTCTCTCTATGAACCATTTTCTTATGTTGAAAACTAAAGCTTTTACCTTGGGTTATTTTCACAGAGCTGGAAGAATTATCTTGGCTTGGGAACAAAGCATGCGGCACCATCATCAGGTAATGATGCATCATCACAGGAGAAGCCTAATGGTTTACATACAAGCACTAGTGAGGAGTCCAAGAAGCATGCTGCTGCTGCTCTCTCTGCAGTTAAGGATGCCGCAGCTGCTGCCGCAATGAAGGGAAAAGTTGAGGTGGGCTTTGATCTTATTTACCATAATAGCTGTCTGCCAATGTTATCTGAATTATGAGAACTGTTAAGTTGAGCTAAGTTGGCTTATGATTTACACATCAACGTCATGTTTACTTGATTGGAAGTGCTGTCCTCAGCCGTTTCACTGCAGTAGTTCTGAGATAGGTATGAGCACCATAGGTAACAGCTACGCTTCTCTGAAATTCCAAATAGATAACGCCCTAGGCAACAACTACCGTATCCATCTCCGTTGAGTTTTTCGTCTAAACTGCTGGGATCAGTGTGTCAACGAGGTCGAGCAATGGTTTGATTTGGATCGGGTATGAGGTAAAATAGGTTGTCCCAACTCCCAAGTCATGTATATGGACTATGTGACATTTTAATTATTAATTTGGGTGACTTAGCACACTACTCTGATCAATTTGGATAGATGTGCTGGAGATGATCAAAATGAATGTAAATATGTAATGTTAGTTATTTAAACTTGAATTTGTAAAAAATCGAAGTAGATTGTCCAGTTTTTCCATGGCCTGTAAGTTCACCGACCATTTATGTAACTGACCTGATAGGAATGCACGCAAAATTACAGTGTTCTATCTTCTCTTGGTGTGCATTATGGCTGTGACTTCCTAGCTCGACAAGTTTGGCTGACGACTTACAGAACGCCTTTTGACTTTTGCAGATAATGGAGGTTCGGGATTTTGCTGGTCGGGATATCGAGGTGAAGAAGCTAGTTGATGCAGAGTCAAAAGAGGCAGCCGAAAAGGGGAAAGCAGCTGCAGCACCCTCGGCTGTGGATGCTGTGCTCGAACAAATCAAGAAGAAACAAAAGCTGAGTGTGCTGGACAAGACAAAGAAAGACTGGGGAGAGTTCAAGGAGGAGAATAAGGGGCTTGAAGACGAGTTAGAAACGTACAAGAAGAGCTCAAACCAGTATTTGGATAAGGTTTCGTTCTTGCAGCGAACTGACTATAGGGAGTTCGAGAGGGAGAGGGATGCCAGGCTGGCGATGCAAGCCAGGAGACGAACTGATATGCGTGAGGATTAATGGATGCAAGAGCAGAGGTTAGAATGGAGAAAGAGAGAGAGAGACCCTCCTGTGGGCTAATTTATTTTCATTCTTGGTAAAGGGCTTTGATTACTGATCAAGGATGGCTTATACAAGTCATTGTTTGATTCTGAATCAAGAGAAATGAGAGGAGTTGCTGGCTTGTGCTGCAATCCGGAAAACAGGAGCTGCTGGCAGCAGCTTTTGCCTGGGCTCCATAATTGTATTTGTATGAATGGATCGGAGGGAAACTCATCATTTTTTCACGAGTTATATTGATTGATTTGTGCATTGGGAGGTTGCAGAGTGTTTCTGTAGGGATATTGCCATCTCTGTTTTCATTTTTTCCATTTACTACTAGTTTAATTTAATCATATTCTTGTCATTTCGAAGCCCAGCTCAAACCAGTCCATCGAAGCTACATTTCTCAAGCTCTGTCTAGCAGAGACTGGTCTTTGTTGCTGAGCCAAGAGGATATGCTTGAACCCACAGTTCGTCGTTAGCATTTTGCAGAATCAGGACAACCCAATGATTGCTTTGAAATTCTACATTTGGATCTCTAGCGTCAGCCCGGTTTTCTCCCAGGATCAAGACTCTTTTGTACAAACTCGAAGCACAGATAAGACTCGGTCAGAACAACTTTAGCTAACTTTCTTTATCGCAAGGGTCTCGTTCTTTTATCAGTTGAGTTACTTGGCCATAGTAATGACTCTGGGTTTCATGTTAATGAAGATATGATCTTTATTCTGTTGTCGAGCAAATGTGAAGTTATTCATTCAGCCACTGTAAAAGATTCAACAGGCCGTGATCCCCATCAGTAACAACTGCTGTTTCCGACAATCGATCAGAAAATAAAAGATTCGGGAAAAGAGGATTCACAAGATGAATGGAGGGCAACAACATCCCGCCTCAGCTAAACCTTGAAAACAAAAAATCATCCAAAACTTGCAGTAAAACACTTCAAATGTGAATAGGCTTGTCATGAGTAGCCATGGCAGCCTCCTTCAACGCCTCACTCATCGTCGGATGAGCATGGCAAACGCGAGCAATATCCTCGCTCGACGCCTCGTAGTTAATTGCCAACACTGCCTCGTGAATCAGCTCACCAGCATTCGGCGCCATGATGTGAACTCCCAATATCTTGTCAGTCTCCTTATCAGCGATTATCTTCACTAACCCTTCAGCATCATCGATGGCCTTCGCACGACTGTTCGCCAAGAACGGGAACTTCCCCACTCGATACTGCACCCCACTCGCCTTCACCTGATCCTCTGTCTTCCCCACTGACGCAACCTCAGGATGCGTGTACACTACTCCTGGAACCAAATCATAGTCCACGTGTCCATGCTTGCCAGCTATGAACTCAACACAAGCAACACCATCTTCCTCGGCCTTGTGAGCCAGCATGGGTCCTGGAATCACATCTCCAATGGCGAACACACCTTTTACGTTGGTTTCAAACTTCCCGTTGACCAAAATCCTTCCACCCTTGTCGGTTTCAACCCCAATCTTGTCAAGCTCGAGACCAGCTGTAAATGGAGTCCTGCCAGCAGACACTAGCACCACATCAGCCTCAAGGATAGTTTGGTCGCCACCAGCAGCTGGCTCTAGAGTTAGCTTCACGCCATCTCCCGAGCTGTCGACTCCTACAACTTTCGTCTTAAGCATGAACTTCATCTTCTGTTTTTCCAAAGAGCGTTGGAATTGCTTGCGGATTTCAGAATCCATGGTGGGGACGATGTCAGGAGCAAATTCCACGACAGTGACTTCTGAACCGAGGCGGGCCCATACTGATCCCATCTCGAGCCCAATGTAGCCTGCTCCAATGACTATGAGCTTCTTGGGGATCTGTTTCAGGGATAGAGCACCAGTGGAAGAAACGATTTTTTCCTCGTCGATGGTGATCCCTGGTAAGGACTTGACGTCAGAGCCTGTGGCAACAATGATGTTCTTGCCCTTAATGACAGTGTTGCCACCGTCAATGGTGTCGACTGAGACTTCATTGGGGGAGACAAATTTGCCGTACCCTTTGACATAGGTTACTTTGTTCTTCTTGAACAATCCTTCGATGCCCTTGGTGAGATTTGCTACTGCTTTGTCCTTTTGGCCCATCATGGCGGGCAAATCGACCTCCACATTGGAGACTTTGACGCCGTGGTGGGCGAATGAGTGCTGAGCTTCATGGAACATGTGGGATGAGTGAAGAAGCGCCTGAAACACAAAACGAAGGTCGATAAACATTACAAACACATCAACAGAGAACCTAGTGAATTAGATCAACGCCGATGGAGCGAAAGGAGTTGCTGGAATTAAACAAGGCAAGCGCTATTAAATCAATTTCATTTCATATAGCTCTAATGCAATCAACAATGAACCCTAGCTCCCCGTATCTGCACTGAAACAGAACAATCGAATCGAGCATGGTCAAAGCATCCGATCGAAATGAATGAACCGCCTCACTCGTCGACGTCCAACGAATTGGGAACAAGAAAGAAAATCAACACCTATCCATAGAGCATCACGGGAAAAATCCACATCGGCATCCATGGATCTGATAAACACAATTCTGCAATCAACTAAACGGAAACAAGAAGGAAAAACGTCCGTTCGTTGGATTTTACCTTGGACGGGATGCATCCGACGTTGAGGCAGGTGCCTCCGAGTGTACCGCGCTTCTCGATGCAGGTAGTCTTGAGGCCGAGCTGCGCTGCCTTGATGGCGGCAACGTAGCCGCCGGGACCGCCGCCGATGATAACCACATCGTTGTCATCAGATCCGGAGGAAGCGAAGCCGCGAGAGAAGCTGGTGAGGGAGAAAGAGTAACGGAGGGCGTCTGGGTGGGAATTGGAGAAGTTTCTGGTTAGAAGGTAAGCCTTTCTCCTCGCGAAGCTTGCCATCGCCATTTTTGCTCTCTGCTCGTACGCTCGGCTGTCTGTTCCTTTGCTTTCCCTTCCCGTTCTCTGTCGAATCTAAATGGAAGTAGTCGGAGACTGAAAACTCTGTTTTGGTTAATATTAAAATAAAGTAATAATAACGCCGCGACGACTAGCTCTTTGGCTTCTTAAGCGACTTTTATTTATGACTAGACTTATGGCCGGCCTGTTGGCCGGGATGTGTTTTGATTATTAGACCAATTCATTTGAATATAATATATATAGTTAAACTATTTTCGATATTTAAATTTCTTATGTTTTTTTAATATATCTATATAAATAAATTGGAAATTCTCTCATGTTAATCTAAATGTTTTGTGGAAGTTCTCGACCAAAAAAAAAATGTTTTGTGGAAGTTTGGACTATGAGCTAACGGTTTAACCAACCAATGAATATTTTTTTAAGGTAACATAAGTACTATATGTTCTTAAGTCGAAATTCTCGACTTTTACTCCATACATATTAAACATCGACTAAGTCGGTCATAGACATATAGAATGTATAATAATCAAAAATTGTTTTTATGAGTAGATTGATGCTAACCAAGATAGTCAAATTTATTATTTTATAAATATATATATATATGGGGAGTTCTACGGTACCCCGGGTAAAATCCGGAGCATTTCATACCCTGGGTGATCTTCACCGTACGTGTGATCTCAGCGGCTCTAGATTTTTCGTCATTAAATCACTTATTAATTATAACCATAATTACCAAAACCCTCTTACAATATATAAATGTTTGCAATTTAGTCTAATTAATTGGTTTGGGTGGGTGAAGTGATTTTTTGGATTGATCTATTGATTCAATTACCAACCCCAATACCCAACCAAACCCACGTCCCTAGAGAACTAAAGGACACCCTCCATCCACAGACCATCCCTAATTCCCTCTTCTTCTTCTTCTTCTTCTTCTTCTTCTTCTTCTTCTTCTTCTTCCTTCTTCGTCCCGACTGTCCCTCCACCTTCATATTGATTCCGCCCAGATCATCCTCTCCTCGCTCTATCAATCTCATCTCGACCCTTCAAACTCCATCTCCCACTCCCTATCTCTCAAACCCACTACCCACCTCCATTTGCCTTCTTTTATCCCCTTCGTAGCCCAGACTTCCGATTGGGCGCAGCAGGATGAGCAGAACACTACAGCCACCATTGCTGACTCGGAACAGGAAGAAGAAGGTGAGGATTCGGCAGCCGAATAGGGCCCGGTGGCTTCCTACGCCGCCGCCGAAGATGGGGATGATGCAATTGAGGCGCAGGAGCCGTCGGAGGACGCCAAAGTGTTCGTCGGTAACTTGCCGTACGATGTGGATAGTGATAAATTGGCTATGCTCTTCGAGCAAGCTGGAACTGTAGAGATTGCTGAGGTTTGTTTCGATGGATTACTTCACCTTTTTTACTGGGTTTTAACTTCTAATTTGCATCTTTGTGAAATCTTCTTTTGTCTTTTGTTTGTTGGCAGGTCATTTACAACAGGGAGACTGATAGCAGCCATGGTTTCGGATTTGTGACCATGAGTACTGTTGAAGAAGCTGAGAAGGCTGTCGATAAGTTCAACAGCTATGTAAGTTCACCGTTTCTTTGCCATATGTTTTTGACGATTGATTGCTGGTATGGGGCTGAGGATAGTAGTGTGAGAATGAAAACTGTGCAAGGGTATTTAATTGATAGCTAAACAGTTTGGGCCTCTGTCAGTTGCATTGAAAGATTGAGTCTTTACTGCTGAAATTCGACGAATGTAAGCTTTGAGATTGATAATCTTGTTGGGTTGGCTGGAATTAGCGAACTTATTTGCAATTGAGCATTTTTGCTTTGAATTGTTAATTTTTCTCTCAACTGGTACAACTCTTGTATCTTCCAGCTAGAGAGGTTCGGTTCATTGAAAGTGTGTTTTTAAACAGTTGCTTGAAGTAATAAGTACTTTCACTTTCTGTTCTATACTACTATTCTGCATTTCAGTGAAAGGTGTTGTTGTGTGGAATGTTCCACTCAGCCATCATTGACTTGTCTTTATGTTAGTAGGATATTCATGAACTTTTGAACTAATGGCATTCCTCTCTGAGCAAACTTGGTTTGATATACCTTCAACTGAGTTCAACTTGGTGATGTACACAGGACATGGGAGGGAGGTTCTTGACAGTTAACAAAGCTGCTCCCAGAGGATCAAGGTCGGAGCGGCCTCCCCATGTGTTCGAACCTGGTTGCAGAGTCTACGTTGGGAACCTACCATGGAGCGTCGATGATTCTCGCCTCGAACAAGTCTTCAGCGAGCACGGCAAGGTCACAAATGCTCGAGTAGTGTATGACAGGGACAGCGGCCGCTCACGTGGGTTGGGGTTTGTGACAATGGCTGATGAGACGGAGATGAACGATGCCATTGCCGCTCTTGATGGACA